CAAAAAGCAACCGACATCAAAAGTCAAAGTCGCTGGGGGGGGGGGAGGGCCACACTAGTTTACAAATATCAAAACTACCCTTCCCGTGACACCTGTTTTGGGGTGGGGTGGGGGAGAGGAAAAGTCTCACAGCAACTAGTCTGGGGTTGAAGCAAAAGGACATTTTCATGCCAGCTGTTGTTTTTAAGCACAAACTGCATCGAACGCTCCCACACTACCGAGACCACACTCACACTCGCGCACACGCTTGCATGCACACACTCACACTCACACACACTCACACTCTCACACACACTCACCTTCATACACACCCTCACACACACACATGTACACACACACCCTCACACACACTCACACACACTCACACACACCCTCACCCTCACACACTCTCACCCTCACACACATTCACACACCCTCTCACACACTCACACACACTCTCACCTTCACTCACACACACACACTCTCACACACACAGGCCCAGGTGCTTTAGCACCAAGCCTGGGGTCAGTCCTGGGGCCATCACATCCTGCTCCCAGGCAAAGCGCCCACAGGTCTGCTGGGCTGGTCCCAGCCACTCCCGCCCCCCCTCTGGCCCTCTCCACAGCCCCGCCCCCAGGACACCCCAAGAACTTCAGCTCTGTGTTTTCCCCAGCCACCTGGCTGGCCTCTGAAGGTGTGCACAGTCCTCCCCTCCCCCTGGGGCTCCCCCCCACCCCACACCCCTTGCTGGGTGGGAGGGGACAAAGGCATCAGCTTTGCTAAGGAGGCAGCAGCTAGTTCCCAGACTTATGCACATCTGCCCCTGCCCTCTCCACATACCCCCCCAAGGCTCCTGCAGCCCCCCCCCCACCCCTGCCACCTCTCTGGCAGAGGTAAAAATGGAAGCAGAGCCCAGGGAAATGGAAATAAGAGGAGAGTCTCTCAAGTGGCCTGTCAATTCTGCAAGGGTAGAGGCTAAATCGGTGTGGCTCACACACTCCCACCCCCACAGGAGGGCAGCCCTGCTAAGCATGTCTCCACCAGGGCAGGGGGTCCAGGAGGTGGCGCCCCCAACCCGGAAGCCTTCGCCACCATGACCTGCCGGGAGGGCTGGCCGGGGAGGCCTCTGAGAACAGCCCAGCAGTCACCTGCGCGCCCCGTGTGGGCACCAGCATGGTGAACGGCCCCGCAGGACCCTCCAGAGTGGACAGGCAGGGGAGGCCGAGCCACCGCCTGCACCCTGAGCCGGCCACGAAACCCAGCCACACACGGCCACGCAGGAACGAAGCCAACAGCCTCAGCGCAGCAGTTGGGGTGCCGAGCGGTTGGGGTGCGACAGGGTTCAACCCACGTGAGCAGAGACCGCTGCGGGAGTCCCTGAGGTCTGACGCTCGGTTCTGTCCACTCATGGGATACCTAAAGTCCCATGACACAAAGTCATTTTTTTATTTGTTCAGTCACTGGCTTTGTTCATTCCAAAAATAATACGTGGTCAAACAGAGTACGTGGAAAATGCAAAAAAAAAAATCTAAGCCAATTCCAATCCCCCCTCGGCCTATATCCCCAAGAGCACAGTGTGTCACGTTCCCTTCCAGCCCTTCTCCCGTGGACAGTGTGTGGCCTTGCGTGCACGTGTGTCCACCGCCGCTGGACACAGGGCATCGTTCTGAGGCCTGGGCGTGGTGGCCCTCGGTCTGCTCCTGCGCAGAGCCAGCGTCTGGGTGGGTCCTGCACTGGGACACCCCGAAGTCATGGTGGCTGCGTTTTACGAGGCCAAGCTGACCCCATGGGGCTCAGTGCAACAGTGTCCACACATGGCCCGGGACACGCCGGCAACTGGCCACTGGGCTGGCTACAATCCTACTTGGATCAGAGGCCCTGGTGCCTCCTCCCAGCCTGTGCGCTCAGGGGCAGAGCCAGAGCCCGGCCCCTCCTGGCAGGGGGAGGGGAGGCCGCAGGGGGAGGGTAGCAGCAGCACCACAGGGGCCTGCAGCTCAGGGTACCGGGCTGCTCCCTCCCCGCCCACCCACTGGGCCCCTCATTCGCAGCCTTTGTTGAATGAAAGAGCAGTATCAGCTGCGGAAGCACTGATAATTTCCAGCAGCCCAAAGGACGGCCCACCAGAATGATGGGAGGTCACAAATACACCTCATGGCGGTGAGGGAGGGGAAATTCAGTCTCCAAAGAACAACTTCACCCTGGCAGGCTGGTCCCGGGCAGCCTGGCTCGCAGCGACACCGTGTGGGGAGACACGGGACCCCGCCGGTGCAGCATGGCGGGGAGCAGCTGCCGGCAGGAACCCAGGGAGGGAGGGATGAGCCTGGGGTGGGCTGGGCCGCAGAGTGGGGGCCACCGGGCCAAGGCCCCGCCCGCCCAGGGCACTTGACTCCACGGGGGCACTGAGACCTATTAAGGCGGCCGGGAAAGAAAAGCAAACAGAAAGAACCACCCAAATCTACAGACAACCCGTGGCCAGGCCGATACAGAGGCGACCCCACGCGGATGCGGAAGTGGCCGGCTGCCTCGAGAGAGCAGCGCAGTGAGGCGCTTACACCTGCTTCCCCTGGAGAATGTGGCTCCGGGAACGTTCTGGAACCCTGGCTCCTCCCATCTCCCCCCACAGCAGCTCTCAGACAACAACCACCAGGATCTTGGGCTCCCAAAGCAGAAGCGAACGCAGCAGGGAGCAGTGGGGAGGACAGGGTCCAGGTGGGCACCTGCAGGTGAGTCGGACCCCAGGGAGGACTCAAGCGAGAAGCAGCGACTCGTGGCAATGACTCTTCCCAAGCCATCAGGCGGAGGCGCTCCGGAGGCTGGAGTCAGGCCGAGGCGCACACGTGTACAGAGCAGCTTTGGCTTTAACCCTGTTGCAGTCTCCCGTAGCCAAGGTGTGAGTGGGGGTGACCATCACCCCCCACTTCGCCCTCACACGCTGGAGGACGAAACCAGGAGCGCCCACGGGGCATCTGGGCTGGTAATGGAGGCTCAGGCACCCGGTCACACCCGCCTGTCAGCGGCTGGGGCCACCCCTCCCGGGGCGAGGCCAGGGCCCCAGCAGTAGCCCGGGGTCTGGGGTGCAGAGGCAAGGCCAGGACACCCTGGCCTGCCTAGCTCCCTGGCCTCGGAGCAGGCTGCAGCCTCCTCGCCTGGGAAAGAAGGAGGGGTCGCAGCCCCTGGGGAGCAGTGACCCCACCCACCCACCCTCATGCTCTGCCCAGCCCCCGAAGATGGGGATGCAAGCAGGTTCTCGGTAGGAGCTTTTCTGTAAGTCACAAGATAAAAGGGAGGTTTCTCCTTCTATTAACTAAACAGGTGAAACGGACAGAAATGAGCTGAGTTCCCAAGAGCGTGGTGCCAGCCAAAGGCACCCCCCTAATTCCCAGGGGCACCACTCAGCGCAAGTTGACCCAGCACTGTGTGGAGAGAACAAAATACAAGAAAAGTCCCAGGCCCTCCCGGTGGCGCGGGCTGGAGCGCTACACTGTGGAGCTGAGCCAAGCGGGGACTGCTTCAGCGCGAGATCGATCCCCACCCCAGAGGAGACCCCGGAGGTGACCCACAGGGCGCGGCAGACCTCTCCTATCTCCCCGCTGCTCCCCTCGGCAGTGGACTTTGTAGATCTGCCTGTTCTGCTCCCCACTCCGACTCTGGTGAAGCCTCTCACCACCCCCCAAACTCTGGCCTGCACCCCAGTTCTGTGTGCATAAATAAATAAATCTTTAAAAAAGAACAGTTCTCAAATGAAAAGCATCATCCATTGCTATATTACATTAACAGTTCAAGCATTACCTGGAGTCTGTAGACAGCAGGCACTTGTTAGGCACTTTATACACTTGTAATTTATTCAATAATATAATGCAGAATTAGGCAAGATAGCATATTAAAATGTGTAATATAAACTCAATATTAACCCCCAAAATATATACTATGTGACATATACATCACGCACTTCTATATTAACTAGACCTGTGCTATATTACTATATCATGGCCAAACATGACTGTATATTATACAATATAATTATCTGTAACATGTATAAAATATAACTGCATATTAGACACAGATTAATTAATATACTATTAGTAGGATGTTAAATATAGATTCATAAGTGAAATAAATGAATAGACCGTGAAATGAATACATAAGGCCAAGAAGGCAAAAGCAGAGCAACAGAGCTCAGCACTGACAACGCGGCTTCCACAGGCTTTCGGCATCTTGAGCCCCGAGCGCTCCAACAACCCTGCGAGGCGCCCGGTGCTTACACTCATCTGTCTTCTCCGAACGAGCACAGCTCAGCCGGCTCCGGGCTCCGCTCTGGCCACCAGGGCGCTCAGTGGGACCCGAGGTCCTCCTCTTGCAGGAGCACGGTCAGGGTGGGGGGACATGGCGTGTTCTTTTCCCGAGAAAGCAGGTCCGGTTAGCACTTAGCGCCGCCTGGACGCTGGGTACCTGCCGGAACTGCACGGTCACGCGACACACGAGGCACACACAGACACAGACCCTGCGACGATCTGCCACGACAAGAAGCGGACGGCACGTGGGGCGCACGGGGGCGGAGCCTCGGCCAGCAGGCGGCCCACAGCGCCCACAGCAAAGGGCCAGGAGCCCTCCTGAGTGCATTCCCGGCCGCGTGGGCGTCTCGGAGACAAGACCAGAAGGTCTGACGGGAGCCCAGGGCCACGAGCGAGACGGGAGCCATTGCATGGAAGAACCAGCGAGAGCTGCCCGCCCAGAGACTGGCTGCGAAGGTCCAAACCCCGTGATCTTATTCCCAACAGGACCCTGACACCTAAAACAGGGGCCCTTTCGTCCCTAGAAAGGAGAGCCAAAGGTTCAGACTCCTTGGAAGGCCCCAAAGTCCCCCCCTTGCCAACCACGGTCAGCCCGCAGGAGGCCCCGGGGCCAGGCCGGTGTCTGAAGCAGACACAGAAAGTCACCCTGGACGTCCAAACTGGACCCTCAATGGGGGGATGACTGCGGCGAGGGTCCCGGAGAGGCCCGGGGGCCTCCCTCACACTCACCTGCGTGGCGCACAGCAGGTGAAGCGGTGTTAAGGCAGGCAGGTGTCCAGCGTCACAGCTCAGGCCGAGGGTCGTCAGGATCTCCTGGAGCACTTCGTATCGCCGGGTGTTGCTGGCTTTGAGCAAGTCAAAGTCTTCCTGCGTGCGCACGAGGGCAGAGCCGGGCGGCAGCTCCAGGTGCACCTGTGGCGGAGACGTGCCTGTGAGCCCGGGCCCACGACCCGTCGGCTTTTCTGGAAACTTGACCACGGACCCTTCTAACTGCCAAGCATGTCAAACTCTGAACTGAATATATCTGAGAAGCGATGACGAGCCGTAAGAAGATGCAAAGGAAAGCACTGGACTCCCGCCCCCTGGAGCGGGGACCCTGCCCGCGCCGGTACCCTGGGTGGAGGCGCGTGCTGGGTGCCAGGCGTCACTGGCCCCGAGCACCTGCGGGGTCCCCAGGAAGGCACTCAGGGCGTCTGCTTTAGTCTCTCTTGCTTTTGCAGAGTGAACTGTGGGTTCCAGTGGCACAGACGCCCCACCCCGTCTAGGGGAAAGCAAAAGACACAGGCTGTGAGCAACTCGAAATCTCTCAGTTCCCACCCAAGGGTACCGGGCCAGACATACTGTGCAGATGGCAGAGTGGGTAAAAGCGCCCTGAGATCATGCTCAGTGAAATAAGCCAGAAAGAAAAGAAAAAATACCAGATGGCTTCACTCATAAAGGACCAGGGGGGTAAATAACAATATTAGGCCCTCCCTGGTGGCGCAGTGGGTTAGAGCGCAGCACTGAGAAGCTAACGCCACTGCAGCATGAGTTCGATCCCCGCCCCGGAGGTGACCCACAGGGCGCGGCAGACCTCTCCTGACCCGCCCGCTGCAACCCTCAGCAATGTGTTTCAGTCCATCAGTCTTCCTGCTCTGCTCCCCACTCTGTGAGTCCTCTCACCACCCCTGCACCTCTGGCCTGTACCCCAGCTCTGTATGCCTAAATAAATCTTTAAAAATAACAACAACAACAATAATAATAATGATAATGATAATAATAATAACGAACAACTATATACCAGAGACATTTTACAGGGGTGGAGTGCGGAATGGGATCAAAAACGGTGCGGGGGGAGAAGTGTGCTGGACTATGGTGATGGCACAGGGGTGATTTGGTGATGGGAAGCCCACGGGGATTACAACTGAGGTGGAAAAGGCACAAAATGATGTAAAAGTAAACTATTACGTTGTTTTTGAAAATATATATATACATATATATATCAAAGTAAAAAAAGTGCCCTGAACAGCCCTGGGCAGGGCGGGAGAGGGGCCGCCCCTGGCCCAGCACGGCGGTTCCCCGGCAGGAGGGGACACGCCCGAGGCCTCCTCCTCTGAGGCGTGTCCCACAGAGACGGGGTCACCGCCGCAACTCGGCTTCTTCCAGATCCAGTCTTCTGGGGAGAAGTCAGAATGCAGAAAGGAAGATGCCTTAAGGTTTACTGACAGGTGAAACAGAGACAAAGCAAAACACAGACAAGGCGCTGGCACTGCCAGGGGAGCGGAGGTCGGGTGAAGGGTGAGGGCACAGGCAGGGGAAGCCAGACAGCGGGATCCTGGTGGCGCGTCGGGGTGCGGAGAGAGCGTGGAGCCCCTGAAACCCACAGTGCGCTAAACCACGGTTACTTCGACTCCAAAAAATTAACCAATAAAGTTTCATTTTAAAAATGAGACAAAAGACTCTCTGGCCAAACTAGAAACATCTCCAGTCACAACAGGGCCGGGAGGTGCTGCCACAGAGGTGTGAAGGCCGGGTCTGCCAACACCCTCCAGGCCCAGAGGGCTGCACCCCAAATCACAGGCCCGGCCCGAGCGTGCGGGTGCACGCTGAGAAACGGCCATCCAAGCAGCACAGCCAGGCCACTGAGAGGGAAAGTCAGCTTGTCTCCCATCACGTGCGAGACCACCTCCGGCCGGCTCCCCAGCCCTGGAAAAGAAAGCCAGCCAAGCCTCGGGTCCTGCAGGGCGGGCGGAGCGCAGGGAAGCAAGCAGAGCCCTCCACGAGGGCGAGGGCGCCCGCTCCTCCTCACTGCTGGGCCTCGGCTCACTGGGCCTCCGCCCACTGGGTCACAGCCTACTCCAGTCACGGCAGACGAGAACGATGAAACTGAACAGGGAGGAGGACGGTAAGCGGCCTGGGATAACATCTTGGGCTGCTCTGGGGGGTCGGCACGAGGGGGGGTGAGCGGTGATGCAGGGCCCAGGAGAAGACGGGGCCCTTCCTGTGGAGACTGGAAGTCCCTGAAAATCAAAAGTGGTGTTCTAAGCCTCCGAATCCGATTTTTGAAGCTGCATCAGATTGCTTTTCCTACGGCGCTGCAGGCGGTATCGAATTTTATGACAGAGCTGGGGTCACTTTAAATGGGGCAGCCAGCAGCTTTGCGGTATCGCCCAAAGAAGTGGATCACAACAGTGCCCAATCGATTTTCCAGTAGGGTCTGTGCACGGGGGAGGGACAACTCACCGTGCGAAACTGAAACACAGCTCTCGGAAGTCGGGTTTCGAGGTGGATTTTCTGAGAATGCATCGTTAGTTACCGTAAGTGCAGAGGGAAAGAGAGATGGCCCAGTTGTAGGCACCCAAAACTCACACGTGAGGCTTGTGACCGGCAGGCAGCCTGCCCAGGTCAAGCTCATCATCTGTCCTGTGTCCAGATTTCTTAATGATGCGTGTCATTAAGTGCGAGGGGCTTGAGGACACAGAGTGGGCTTGAGAATAGAAAAACCGATCTACACCCCTCGGACAAGGTCCGGTCATGAGGCCCTAGTCACGCCGCTTCTAGAAGGGATGGCAAGAGACAGTCTGTGAAGTGAGAAAACGAAACACGAGGAAACCATTCTCTAACTCGAAGATCTCTGGAGTAAAACAAAAATCCTTACACTCCTCCTGGGAGTATTCTGGGCAGAACACCTACCTCTACCTAGCTACACTCATGAGGTCAGCAAGGCCTCGAGGGTCCATCTGCACTCAGACACCGCCCTGAGGCATTACAAGACTTTCAAAGCACAGGAATCTGGAAGTTTCTCCTGCTCCCATTGGCTCAAACAAAAAGCCAAAAAAAATAGGGCCCTTCCTGGTGGCAGCACCATGAAGCTGTCCGCAGCCACTGCAGCAGGAGTTCGACCCCAGCCAGGGAGGGCCCAGCAGAACCCTCCTGTCTCCCCGCTGCTCCCCTCAGCAGTGGGTTTCTGCAGATCCACCTCTTCTGCTCCCCACTCTGTCTCTGGCGAATCCTCTTACCCCTCTGCCCCCAGCACCTCTGGCCTGAACCCCAGTTCTCGTGTGCATAAATAAATACATTTTAAAGAAAAAAAGCCAAAAGGAGAACGGTGGGAAAACAGACCAGGTGAGCCGAGGCTCCCTGGCTGGGAAGCTGCCAGTTTTCTTCCCTGAGTAACTACGCACCTCACCCCAAGCTGCGCCAATCTGTATCCAGTGACATTTCCCCAGAGTCTAGATTTTTTTTTTAAGATTTATTTATTTGTTCATACAGAACTGGGGTATAGGCCTGAGGTACAGGGGCGGTGAGAGGCTTCACCAGAGACAGAGTGGGGAGCAGAACAGGCAGATCGACGAAGTACACTGCTGAGGGGAGCAGCAGGCGGGTCAGGAGAGGTCTGCCGCGCCCTGTGGTCACCTCCGGGGCAGGCGGGGTCTGTGGGTCACTCATGCAGAAGTGACTTTAGCTTCTTAGTGCAATGCTTTAACCCGCTGCGCCACCAGGGAGGGCCAGAGTCTAGACTTTAACACGAGAAGTCGGAAGGGAGAACAGCCTGAGGTGCCTTCCACCACTGTGGCCCACGGGCTCCCTGCTCTCCACGATCACCTTCTAACAGAAGGGTCACTGATGTTGGGGCTTCCCCGCCTGGGGCTCTCAAATCCTTCACATTTAAGGAAAGCTCAATTCCAGGGGCCAAGGGGAGGGGGCGGGTTTGGAAAGACACGGCCAGTGCGCATCAACACACGAAGAACCTTCCGCCTCGGCCCTGGCTCACCAGCCGCCCGACCCCACGATGCCTCGTCTCCTTCCTCTAACACGTGTAATTGGTAAGGCAGGATATGCGTGCCCTGAACTCGCAGCCCGGGGTCAGCAGTGGGCCACACTCTCAGATCCTATCAGTGCCTGAACGCAAATCCCTGCCGGAGGCCCAAACTCGGGTTCCGGACCCGGGCTCGTACCTGACAGAGAACAGCTTCTCCTCCACACGTCCCGTAAGGCACTTGCACAATCAGCCTGTCCTCGTCCTCACTGTCCAGGCGGCCCTGGAGCCGGCCCAGGCCGGGCCCCTCCCCGGGGCCCTCTTCGTAAACACAGCCACTGCCCAGAACACGGAGCTTCACCTTGCTCTGGTCGGCTTTGGAGAAAACCAAGTTCTGGACAGTGTCCTGCAAGGCTTCCTTGCTTGTCACCTGCAAGCCCCCAAAGGTGAAGGGAGAAGCGAGGCCCAACACCTTCCCGCCCTGGGAAAGGTAGGCCAGGAACTTCTGGTGCAGGTCTTCAGCGATGGCCTCGCCGGTGGCAAGGACCAAGAGCAGACAGTTGTCCGGCCACGGGTCTTGGAGCGCACTGTCCCTGGACAGGTGGTAGAGTGTGTAGCAGTCAGGCTCCACACAGTCGGCCAGGAGAGACTGCACCTGCTGGAACCTGCCCAGGGCCTCCTGGGACTCAGAGCCCACGTACACCAGGATGTTGGGGGCCTTTCCCGTGATGTTGACTCTCTTCCCTCCCCTCTCCGGGCAGATGGCATCAGCAATGCCCTCCAGGCGGCCATTGCTGTAATCATAGGGAAGATCTGGAATGTTCTCTGCAGACGCAAACTTGACGGACTCGATGGTGCTGTTCTCAAGCTCCAGACACTCGTGGCAGCTGGACAGATGGAGGTGGCAATGGCCGGTGGGGCCCACGCCCTGCTTGCTCTCCCCGGCTGGCTCGCTCCCAGGGGCACCCCCGGCGCCCGGCCTGCCCTGGGGCTCATCTGTGACCCCGTGCTCCATCGGCTCATCTGTGACCCCGTGCTCCATCGCGTCTGGCTGGGGCTGACTCTTCCCTGAGGCTGTGGGGCTCAGCGGCAGGGTAGCAGCCTGCGTGTGTGAGGCCTGACCCTTCAGCTTCTCGAGTGTGGAATCCTGCAAGTGCACCGCTGAGGCGGGAACAGAACAGACGGTGGGTCACTTCACAGCCCCGCGCAGCTCACACCCCTGGCACCCTGCACCCCAGCTCCTGTCCCGAGCACTCCCTGCCTTAATCAGTACCCAAGAGGAGGGCCCTTTCCGACACCTTTTCCCTACAAACCCCAAAACTTCAATTCCTACTTGACTGGTGGGGAAAAGTGAGGCTCAGTGGGGTGATGCCACAGATTGACTCCCAATTTCACTCCGGGGTGTCAATATGGGATGGTGAAGCTAGCAAGGGGCATACCCAGGGTGTGTGCACGCATTTATTTCACCCAAGGTAGCGCAGAGTAAATGGCTGCTAGACTCTTGCTCAACGTGTGGAGACCTCAGCTGGTGTCGGGGTGTTCAAGATTTCAAAAGCATTCAAGGTACAACTCAGGGAGAAGCACTTCAAGAAAACCCAAACACATTTATGAATTTTATGCCACTATGGTGAAGCCAAACTTGTTCACTGAATTAAAATGAACAAGTAAGCTCTGCCTCCAAGTCACACCAAACAGGGGTGCTCAATCGTCCCCCCACCAGCATCCTGCTGCAGATGGTCACTTACAGATGATCTTCTGGGGGGCCAGTCCATGGGCTATCTGGAGTCTCTCTTCCAGGAACGCCACCCCCAGCTTGCTGAAGTCATCCACACTGGCTTGGGCAATTAACTGATAAGGCTCCCCAGGTCTGCAAGCTAAGGGCAGGCAGCAGTCTGACCACTTGACAATCTGAGAAAAAGTGGGTGAGAGACCAGTGAGAAGGTGCATCTTAAAGCAACTAGCAGCAACAGATGTTGGCGAGGATGTAGAAAGGAACTCTCCCGCACTGCTGGTGGGAACGCAAACTAGTACAACCACTATGGAAAACTGCTACATATGGAGCTTCCATGGGTCCCAGCAATCCCACTCCTGGGTATCTACCCAAAAGACACAAAAACATGAATTCAAAAAGACACCTGCACCCTCATGTTTATTGCTGCTTTATTTACAACAGAAAAGACATGGAATCAACCCAAATGCCCAAAAGCAGATTAAAAAAATGTGGCACATAGAACCTCCCTGATGGCGCAGTGGGTTAAAGCACAGCACTAAGAAGTTAAAGCTACTTCAACATGAGTTCGATCCCTGCCCCGGAGGTGACCCACATGGCGCGGCAGACCTCTCCTGACCCGCCCGCTGCTCCCCTCAGCAGTGTACTTCCTCGATCTGCCTGCTCTGCTCCCCACTCTGTCTCTGGGGAATCTTCTCACCAACCCAGCACCTCTGGCCTGTACCCCAGTTCTGTATGCATAAATAAATAGATCTAAAAAAAAAAGATGAGTACATATACACAATGGAATATACTCAACAATCATAAAAGATAAACACATGCCTTTTGCAGCAACACGGATGGAGCTGGAAGGGATCATGCTGAGTGAGATAAGCCAGAAAGAAAAGGAAAAATACTGGATAGTTTCACTCATAGCAGGAGTATAATGGACCAGGGCGGGGGGGAAATAATAAACAGCCATATACCAGAGGAATTCTATGGGGGTGGAGTGGGGAATGGGATCAAAAATGGGGGTGAGGGTGCACTGGACTATGGCGATGGCACATGGGTGATCTGATCTGGTGATGGGAAGCGCAAGGGTATTGCAACTGAGATGGGAAAGGGCACAAAATGATGTCAAAACAAACTGCTATATATTATTTTAAAAAAAAATAGTGGGTGAGAGAAGAGGAGGCAAAAGAGAGGTTGAGGCGCCTCTCAGACAAGCAGACGGCAGCCCTCCCAGCAGCTCCACACCCCTCAGCCGGGCGTGGCGGGATGCCACCACTCCTGAACCGAGTTGTTCTGGACCCGCCTCCTCCTGTCAGCCTGCCAAGGGGCGCACCAGGCTTCAAATACACCTGCTCTCACTTCAAAGTGTGTGAAGTCCCAACTGACTGACTGTCCAGGAACCCAAAGGGAAAAGGGCCGTTCCCAGACGCGGGGGAACATGTAAGTCCCAGCTAGGTACACGTGCAGTAAACCAGAACAAGTTGATTTTTTAAAAACTTGCCCTTCAGTAACGGGGAGTTGAAAAAACAAGTCCACAAATGTCCGAAGCTTTATAATGTAACCTGGAAACCTGTTTTTCTTTTTTTATTATTAAGATGTATTTATTTATGCACAAGAACTGGGGAACAGGCCAGAGTGTGGGGGGTGAGAGGATTCACCAGAGACAGAGTGGACTGCGCAGGATATGGACGGAAATACCCTGCTGAGGGGAGACAGGAGAGGTCAGCCGCGCTCTGTGGGTCACTCCCTGGCCCAGGATCAAACCTGAGCTGCAGAGGCTATGGATAGCTTCATAGCGCTGCGCTTCAACCCGCTGCACCGCCAGGGAGGGCCCGAGACCAGTTTTTCTGCCGCGTGGTCCAAACCCGAGGCTCAGAACTCCAGGGGCACAGATGCATCTCCAGCACGCCCCGCCCTCTGGAGCTGCACCCCGGGATCAGACGTTTCCGCACACTCCCCCAGGGTCCTCCAGCCCTGAGCTTCTAGTGCCTGGGACTCTCAGGCCTCCTGCAGGTCCTTTTCTCATTTCCACCACAAGAGGGCTGGAGAAAATGAGAGCAGACAAAGCAAAAATGGGTTTCGATGGAAGAATTGGGGAGACACAGCTGAGAGGCACCGCTGGGCTAAGAGTCTAGCTCTGGGCCACTGGGGGCCTGGTCTGTGTGCAACCCAGCTGTTGGCGCTGACTGTCCTTCAGCGAAGCTCAGGTCTCTGAAGTGATCGCTTCCTCACTGCCTCAGCTTCCTCTCATAAAACAGGAAGGCTGATTTTGTTATTACTACCTAACATCTTTTTTTTTTAAAGATTTATTTATTTATTCATACAGAACTGGGGTACAGGCCAGAGATGCGGAGGGTGAGAGGATTCACCAGAGACAGAGTGGGGAGCAGAACAGGCAGATGGACGCAGTACACTGCTGAGGGAGCAGTAGGCAGGTCAGGAGAGGTCTGCCCCGCCATGTGGTCACCTCCGGGGCAGGCAGGGATCGAACTCATGCAGAATTGGCTTAAGCTTCTTAGTGCTGTGCTTTAACCCGCTGCGCCACAGGGAGGGCCCCTAACATCTTTTTTTTAAAAGATTATTTTTAATTTATGCACACAAGAACTGGGGTGCAGGCCAGAGGTGTACAGGGTGAGAGGACTCACCAGAGACAGAGTGGGGAGCAGAACAGGTGGATCTACTGAAATGCACTGCTGAGGGGAGCAAAGGGTGGGTCAGGAGAGGTCTTCTGCGCCCTGAGGGTCACTCCCTGGCCAGGGATCAAACTAGTGCTGCAGTGGCTGCCGATAACTTCATAGTGCTCAGACTTAACTCCTGCACCAGCAGGAAGGTCCCAATAGCTAAGATCTTAAACCAGAACTAATTACTATCTTAATGCCCAATAGTAAAAGCAGTGGTCTTATAGGCTTGTCCCGTTAATGAGATTCATAATCCCCCAACAGAAAGCTGGAGGAGAAAAACTTCTCAGAGAATGCAAGGTGCTACATTTTGTCATTTTTAAAACAACAGTGACTAAATCTTTTCCTAAAATATCATGAAAGACTCCCCCACTTCCCCCCAATTTTTTTCTCAGTGATATACTGCCCCCAAATTCATAATTATAGATGATTATTTTGAATCTCGTTTTTTTTACATTCATGGGATAGGTTTTTAGAAATCAAGCTGAAAACAATGAATATGTGACAGAGAAAATGCATAAAGCATCTTAAAAACACCAGGATGCGCAGGTAAGGGAGAACCGCCGGTGCCGGGGTGAATCCGGAGCGCACACTGGCTAGAAAGGCTCCCTGCAGCCAAGTTATCTCCGCTCTGAAGGTCCTTCCTTGCTCACCCTGGAAATCTGAGCTTTAAAAGTTGAGGTCCAATCATGTAAAGATAGACAGATGAGTAGAACAGACAGATGATAACAACAAACATACACTGATGGTCAAGTCGTTATTAGACAGTTCCCAAGACAATCATCTTGGGAATCAACTTTTCAACAAATGCTGGTACAGTTGGATGTTAACTTGCAAAAGAGTGAAGCTGGGTCCCTATCCCATTCTATGTAAGGCGGTTACAAAAGTTCACTGGAATCCAAATGAACACCTCAGTGGTTTCTCAGCTAGACACCAAATGTACAACAAGCAACAACGAAATACAGGTCAATTTCATCAAAGCAAATCTGTACCTCAAAGGATGCTATCAAGGAAAGAAGATACCAGAAACCTAAGCACCTGAGTAAAGTAGAAATAGATCATGAGTAGCAACAATTTACTTAACTGAGAAACTGTAACTTTTATATTACACTGAATGTGACTTTCTTAAGTCAGATAACTGAGATGTAAACTGTTATGCTCAACATTCAACAATTCATTCATCTTCCTCTTCATTGCTGCCTCTAACTATAGATTCTAAGGGATCAAAACTCCATTGCCTGCATACAATGGAGACACCGTAAGGATAAGTAACCAAGGTTTTCCAGTGATGACTGGTTCTATTCCTCACACATAAAAGTGCTCATTTTCATCCTGCTTTGAGGGGAGCTTGCAGCAGAAAATTTAGGAATTGGCAAACTCTGACCACTGTGAGTTGTATTCCTTCTCTAGGATGAGCTGTTCATTCAGAGTGAATTGCCCTCCACATGCCCCTCTTCATAACCAACCATTAACTGGCTCCAGCAGCATTTCTGGAAACCTGAAGAACTGACTGTGTCACATGCCTAAGAGGACACCTGCCAGGGAAGCTGGTCACCTTGACTCCCACAGCTCTGCATGCCTGCCTTCTGGACTGGCTGGCGGTGGAGGAAGGAATGATGAACACCGTCCTGAAACCTGGCTATGGGAACGTCAGGAGGCAGGAGCCAGAGGTGGGGTGGAATGGTTAACAATCTTTACAGCAAGCAATCCTAACTACAGAAAGAGGGAGGGGTTCAACCAAGACCAGTGAAAACATTCACCTAAGAACACGACCCTTTGCTCTGGTGACATGGAGGTGCCCTAAAATGCCCACCTGTGTCTATGCAGGTATCTCTTTCCTAATGCAACCTTCCTGTGCAAATCCTGCCCCACAATACACCTGCTATCCTGTGATAAACCTGGTGTGTGACTGAACAGGAAGTGGCTGAAATCTCTGTTCAGAGGGAACCCAAGAATCCCACTCACTGAGCCCAACACTCTTGAATCATTAAATATTGAGAAAATACTTTTTGTTCTACAAACACTTTCATTAAAATGTTGGGGAAATTTCAAGTGTTTTCTAGCATTTGTGGATTTCAAGCTTTAATATGCCATTAAAAGGATATTGCTTTCGGCACTCCCTGGTGGCGCAGCGAGTTAAAGCACAGCACTAAGAAGCTCAAGCCACTTCCACATGAGTTCGATCCCCGCCTGTCCCGGAGGTGACCACATGGCGTGGCAGACCTCTCCTGACTCGCCCGCTGCTCTCCTCAGCAGTGTACTTCATTGATCTGCCTGTTCTGCTGCCCACTCTGTCCTGGTGAATTCTCTCACCCTCTGCATCTCTAGCCTGTACCCCAGTTCTGTATGAATAAAATAAATAAATCTTTAAAAAAAAATAAAGGATATTGCTTTCGATGTAAAAAGTGCTCAGTATCTTAAAGTTTTATTTCTTAAAGTATTTTACATATGTAAAACAACTTATATCAATGTACTTCCTTCAGAACAGTTCAATTTTCAGTTGTTTGGTA